TTCTTCTCGAGGCTCTTTTCATTTGTAGTTGGCCATTGTAGTATTTCGTCATGAAATTCTGTAAATTCTGCTAGAATGTATTGTTTCACTTTTGCAATATCTGCTTGACTTGGGTAAGTTACTGCAAGTACCTTTCACATTAAAAACAACGACCGCAAGCAACGTTAGCTGAGTGGGATTCTACTAACGCCCCCGTCCCTATGGACAGATCCCGTTGAAGTCGTGCACTTCCTGGGCCTCCCTTTAGCGGAAACAGACGACAACGTTGATGGATGAGCCGATCCGAGCGGGGTTTAGTAGTCGCTACAACAACAACAACATCCGCAAGCGACATACAGCATCAGTTAAATTTTCAATACACACGTTCTTATGGCCGGACATCTTGTCTACTGGACTGCTATTTTCGACTACGCCAAATAAAATCTATCTATCTATATATGTATATAATACGTGAAGGGATTTTTTGTTCAGGTCATCATATCTGCACCGTACGTTCGATTTTCGAAAATGGGTTGTCAAATTAAAGGGTTCTGGCTGTAGATGTGCAATTAGGTTTTACTTTTTTGCATAGTTGCCGCCTTTTAAAAAATTATAATCAAATTATTTAAAAAAATAAATCAATTATTACAAACTGGGTATCAATCGAAATGGTTTTGAAAAGCTTTGTTTCTTAGCTGAACTATAAAAGGGTTGCCACCTGTTTAAAAAATCATATTAGGTAAGAGAAATATGTATCATAATATGGGCGCCAAACGAAAGGGGTTTTAGAAAGTTGTAGTTTGAAAATATTTTGAAAAGGGTTGCCATCTGCTTGAAATGTCGAATTTAGTTTACTTATCACAAGTTATACGAAATATCAAAATATAGATGTCAAACGAATAATCTTAATATGTTAATAAATCTTTAGTTTCAACGCCAAGAATATTTTTGAGGTGTTGGAAGAGGGTTGCCACCAGTTTAAAAAGTAAAATTTAAATTGTTTTAAAAGTTAAAGGAATTATTAAGATACGGGTATCAATCGAAGAGGTTTTGAAAGGTTTTTAATTCTGAACTGTATTTAGCGGGGTTGCCACATGTTTTATTTAAATTCCACTTAATTCAAGTTAGTTAATTAAAATATGTATCACAATGTCCGGCCAAGGAGAGTTAACAATTATTAAGCTTGATAATACTTTTGAAGAGGGCTGCCACCTGTTTGAAAGGTCTAACTCAATTAACTAATTCAAAAAGTATATGAAATATAAAAATACCTTAGTCAAACGAAAGAATGGTAAGAAATCTTTAGTTTGAACATTTCGAACATTTGTCACATGTTTAAAAAGTTACATTCAAATTATTCAGTAAGTTGGATGAATTATTAAAAGATGGGTGTAAATCGAAATGGGTTTGAAAGGGATTTATTCCTGACCTTTACTTAGGAGGGTGGCCATTTGTTCGAACAATCAAATTCAAATAGTTCATCAGTTTATTGAAATACATGTGTATCACAATGTCAGACGAAAGAGATTAAAGGAGGTTTTAGTTTGAGAATACTTTTGGAAGGAATTCCAAAAATGAGAGGTTAAATTAGAGACCTTAGCCTGTGGATGTATGATAAAGTTTTATCTTTTTAATTAAGAACTTTTTTCATCGGTATAGGGTGATTTGAAATTCGTTGAAAATAAAAACATGCATTATGCGAGACTGCTCTTCACTCAGGGCTGCACGGTTTTGTTGAAATATGGCACTCGGATATTTTTTAAGTTTTTGAAATTCAATTTTGGGCGTTTTAACGCCAAGCGTGTTCACTAGTTTATTTTTTCGGCGACAATGAGCGAATGTAATGTAAACCTCGTAAATAAACCGGTTTTCCGTACAAACTTAAACAATTTTACGAGGTTTACGTTGATGTGAGGCTTTTACGCGTTTAGATGAATTTCCCTAGTATAAAATGTAACATTTTTTTAAATTTTAATAAGTCTTGCGCTATTTCACCGAAAAACCATGAAATGTCTGCTATATAAAATGTAATAACAATCAACCATTTTAATCAAATAAATTGATTCAATTTCTTTATTTGCAAACAAAATTTCACTTTTAGCAGAGTATTTTTATTTTATAGACTTGAAATATTTTCAAACGGCTATGCTTGTTGTGTCGCTGCCGTTTTTAAATAAGCAATTAATTCGAAAAGGGCACATCTCTTAAGAGTTGTGACCTTTTCGAAATTATTTCTGTAATAACGTAGTAACGCTGATAGTAATACCAATACTAAAGTTGTGCTTTTTTTCAATCATAGATATAAGGAAGCATAAAGATTACTTTTATATGTAAAAGTGCATTTGTCAAAATATGCGAGATGTGCGCTTTTCGAAATTGGCTATTCAATTAAATAGGCATAAATTTAATGCTGCTAGAATTTCATTTCAGTAAATTCACAATTGTTATTGCAAAATCGGAATAAACAAAACAATTAGACAGCTTATCACCAAGCCCCCTTTTGTGTTTATGTTAAATCCATTTTAATACAATAAACATTGATTGAAATATCATGCTAATACTGAAGGTCAAATCGGTTATTGGTTCAAAACTGCAATAAATTTAATTTCAAACTATTTGATTTGCTTTGGTTTTTCTCCCAGTTGGTTAACGTACATACATACATATACACATACCAAAGTATAAATATGTACATATATGTATATATTAAGGGAAAGAAGTCATAATCTGCGCGAACTTTGCTCTCGTTGTCGTTGATTGATTTTAAATGTACATATAATATTAAGGCTTAGCCTAATCATCCAAAAAATAATGCAACTTTGGTACAAATACACAGTACCTACATATCGATAAGTTTACGCGTGTAAATGTCTTATGCAAGCATATATAAATAAAGAAGTATTTACTTACTCTCTCAGGTGCAATGATACCCGGGCAGTTTGGTCCCACGAGACGAGACTTGTTCTGCCTCAGAAGAGCGTGTTTTACACGCACCATATCATGTTGTGGTACACCTTCTGTGATGCATACAATCAATGGAATTTCCGCTTCCAGCGCTTCCAAAATAGCGGCAGCAGCACCTGGTGGTGGCACATAGATAACAGTTGCATGCGGATCAGTGGCCTTTTTCGCCTCAGCTACCTAAATTTTTTTTTAAATTATACTTTGAAACCACAATAATTAATTTTGATACAAATTACCGATGCAAAAACGGGCAATCCAAGATGCGTGGTGCCACCTTTTTTTGGAGAGATTCCACCAACCAGCTTCGTACCATACTCCAAAGCTTGCTGACTGTGGAAAGTACCTTGTTTGCCGGTAAATCCTTGGCAAATCACTCGCGAATCTGCTGTTAATTGCAAATTGGCACGAGTCTTGGCATATTCCGAGCTAAAACGGACACCGACAAACAAACTGTCTATAGGTATAAAACAGAAACCAACATTAATGAGCTTGCGACTTGCATAATATGCATGTGAGTTACAATGCAGGAAAATACAAGTTAATTTCACGACACTTTTGACACAATTAAGGTATTAATTTACCGTATAACAGCAACAAGTGAACTTGGCAATTTTAATTATTCATATTGGAAAATTATTTCACACTATCTGTTGAGAAATCGCGGACAATAATTTATTCTTTATAGTTATATGAGTCACTTTCAGTGATTACCAAAATACACCGACCAATGTTTTAATTTTCAGTTCAAATATTTAATTTTGTAGTAACTAATTATCGCACCATATATTTGGGTAACCAAGGTGGTCGCTAAGGTCGCACTAACTATTCCAAGTTATATAATTTTTCAGTGTACTCATACCACCTATTAGACTTATCTACTTACCTTTTAATTTTAATAGAGTTCTTGCTGTAGCAGCCATTTTTAATTCGAATTTTGAATGCAGCAATAATCCCTTTAAAATTTATGTAAAGCAAAAATTAATTAGATTGCAGCAGCTGGATCTACAATAATTAATTTTTCCTTTTGTTCGTTCGTGACAGATACTAGTGCCGATTTTTGGCAGTAGAGGTTGAGCGTATGGCCAGGTATGTTACATTTTGTCAGAAAAAAAGTAAGAGGGAGAGTATATTCCCTTCGTTTCTTGTATGTTAACTCAATTTACAAATTTTCGACTTTAAATTTATTCAAAATGAAATTTGTTATTAATTAATAAAACTATATAACTACAGAACAGTTTTTCAAACTTTAGTTTTCTATTGGAGCATAACCGGATATTTAATAGGGAGAGTACATATTATAAAACGCGGATTACCAATCTTCGTCTCTGCACAAAAAAAAGCGAAAAAGGTGAAATGGGAATGTAAAATATATTTTTACATCATCTTTGTATGGTTGGCGCCAAGGTGTATTAAACATAAACATACATTTTGGTTGGCGCTGATAACGTCTTTATTTTGTTAATGACCTCTGTAAGCTGACGGTCCGATCGGTGGAATTTCCATCAAGTTTAAGGACATAAAATGAAGGAAAGCGATGAAGTGTGTTTATATTTTTGTTTATAGGCGCGTATAGGGTTTATAGGCGGCGGCGTAAATATTCATGTAAGTAAATCTAAGTGTAGGCAACACTCTTATTGCGATAAGAAATTAAACAGATAATTTGACTTGTTCAAAAGAGATAGCAGCTATTTGTAAGACTAGTTGTCTCTATTGGTGAACACTTCAAGCATGTGAGGAATACCGCGATAAGTAATCGATGGATCTGAAAATGCAATCGGCAAGCGGTATAATCGACAGCGAGTTTACATGCAGTTATATTACTTAAAGAATGTTCGAGATAAAAAATAAAAATAGCCTTATTTTCGGATCAACAAATAAAACTAAAACAAAATATTCTGCCTTATCCTAAGTTTCGCCTAAAAAAATTCACCGAAAATTTGTGATCCGCCCATGGAAACCAAGAGTGAAAAGTGAACCGGTTTGGGGAAAATGAAATTCACGATAAGGCTGATTAAAAAGTTTTTAATAAAAAATCACAGTTATTAACCCGTAAAAATTTTTCAATGAAAACCAAAGACTTGGTTAACTTTAGTTAAAAACTTTATTAAAATTAAAAAAGAAAACTAGATTTTATTATAAAACCAGTTTTTCATAGCCTAGTTACCAGATGTTATAAAAGTATCAACGTTATTCTAAAATTGCTTTTGCATAAACAAGACATTTCGGGTCAAATATTATAGTCTTATACTTGGCTGGACTTATAAATATACATACAAATGTAAGGTGGCCTGGATTTACTAGTAAACTTACTGATATATTTTTCATTGACGAGATATTGTAAAAGTCTGTATCAGTAAACACTGACAAATTACATGATAAATTATGTACTGAAATAAATAAACACAAAATAAGTCTTACAAATATTTGTATGTAAACATATGATCAAAGCTGTCTCTTGCACTACCTAGCCGCTGTTTCTTTCAGAAACAAAAATAATATAATTTTTTTATTTTTGTTGTATATTGCATGCGACTTTAAATCGGAAACCTTATTTTAAATAGATAGTAAAGTTTGAATAGTTCAAAATCATAAATAAATTATGATCAATTAAACCCAAACAAGCATTTTGTCTATGATCAATTGAACATATTGTGGGGATCCTCCGTGTCTTCTGCGCTGTTGACTTGGTTGTAAGGAACATCTTCTACTACTCTTGATCCCCTCGATGTAGCTTCATTTGACGTTTTGTACTCATCTCGATTGAAGGTATTTTCTTCTCCGGCACGTAGGCGTTGATATACTAGTATATTTTTGCCTATCCTATTTTGCATACTCTTCAGAAGGGCTTTAACATCTACTTCTTTCTCCTTCAGCAATCTTGACCATTCGCTCACGACCAGTTGAGGTGCAACATTTTCATTTATTTGTGCGTTGGAAATTCGATGCAATACTTTGTAGTTCATAAGAAACTCATTTATGACCGGAGCTAAAGGTTCGTAGAGCACAACGTGTGATGGCATAGCAGTACGCGGATATGAGGGAATATGAGAACGCAACCAATGCGTTGGCGACTCATAAAATTTATTGGCCTCATCAACATAATTAGGTTTATTTTGTAAATTAGGCTCACAAGTTAGAAAACGCATGGTTACATTTTCATGAACATGGCTGCAAATTAAATAAGAGTCACAATACAGATTCATTTAATGGTACAAAATTACAAAAAAAAACCAACCTATAAAACGGCGTAGAATGGCATGGCATTAGAAAGAGTATGCTGGCGCGGTGTTCGTTTTCATCTCGATAATCCCTAGCAATCTGTTGAACACTTGTCATCACTTCTAGTGGACCCTTCTGGTGGACAGTGCTTAAGTACCATGCGGGCAATGCATTACCAAAAACTATTACCAGTGCGCTCAGCCAAAGCATAAATCTGGTGTAAATAGATCTAGTTAATCTATGCACTTCAATTTTACTAAAACAACAATATTCACCTGGAAGCATTGTAACTCCAACGGGTTAGTGTATCAGCAGTAATGTAGAGACATAGAGGTAATAAAGATGACACAAAACGAAATTCTTTATGTTCAACAGTGCTTAGTACAACCAAAGAAAGTAAAATGGTAATAAGCAACTGCTTGCGTACCGGATAATTTTGTTTATGACGAACGGTATCCATTACTCCAAAAATAAATGGTAATGTATTTATGCCCAAAACAGTTGGCAAACCAACGGTGAAGTACCAATACCTAAAGTAATAAGAATTTATAAATTATGAGGTTACCGATTAACAAACCTCTTACCATGGATGAGAGCCGTAGAAACTACCAATGTTATGCAGCACATTATATTTGAAGAATTCATATGGAGTAACTATCAATCTACCGTGCCAGTAAGTATCGATACCGACACAAACTCCTCCAACTAAAAGCCTTTTGGAAGTCAAGAGAGAATTTATTAAGTTTTGAAATGCTTGCTTGATTTTTTGATTCAAATTACCCAACAACCAAAAAATGTTTAAGAATAAGATCGCTTGTTGGCAAACGGCTCTTTCGTAAATGATAAATGCTCAAAGGTATCCAAATAACAGCGGCGGTCGGTCTCAAGAAGCAGCAGATTGCAGCAAACCACAAATATGTTGTGCTTTCTCCACTCCATGGGAAGTAACTCAATGCGATTGTTGTCAAAGAGGTTTCTAGAGTATTAGATAAAGTCCGCGAACCGGTGTAGAACCAAAACCATGGGACAAGGATTAAAAATAGGCCCCATTTCTTTTTGCCAGACCAAACAAAGAATCTGTAGTCTGAATAAGCCGATAACGTGCCTTGCAAAATACGCGGCAAAATCACCTATGGAATACATACACAAATGGAAATTTTATTATATAAAAACAATAAAATAAATATTTACGTAATTAACCTAAGGGATTATATATAGAGAATTATTTCAAAATTTAAATTTTGTGGGAGAACGCAATCAATTCGTATACATAGCTGGTGTAAACGTAGTAATTTTTAAGCAAAAAACAAAACCGACTTCATATTCTCATATTTTTTATGATCCAATGATCGGATCTAAGGTACCACCTTTCCATTAAAAAAAATTCAGATCAAGAAATTGGTTAACGTGGGTTAGTTATCTGTTAAGACTGAAAATATTCTTACTATGAAATAAAATATGTAAATTTAGACCAACTTACCAACAGTTGTGCCGTATCTAAATTAAGCAATGCTAATGCCTTGTAAATGCCCGCAATTATTACTGGGTAAAGATAGCTACGTAATCCTTGAACCCATTCCCATGTCAAGTAACCATAACTATATGAAATAAACAAGTATTAATTAGAAGTTGAGTACGTATTTAAATAAATTCTAAAATTCATGAACATACTTAATATAAATTACTTACCCGAAAGTTAGCTTATGAGCTACCTCCAGACTCTGCCAGTATTCATCTGGAACATAGTACGTTTGCACTATAAACACCGATGCAAGTCGCACTACCAGTATTATCAGAAACACCAGCAGCAAATTCATCTTATCCCTGATATTCAAATAGTCTCTTGTTTAAAGCAATGAGTTTACTTTACGTGAAGTCGAAAGCGCCCGGATTTACGTAAGGTATCAAAATATAAACTAATATGTAAAATGAATTAAAAATAATCAAAATATTAGTTCGAACTTAGGGCCATTTACATAGTGAATAGTTAACTCATATTCGGCAGTTAACTTTCGTACTTTGAACTGAAATTCTGTAATTAACTGCCCAGTGAGAGTTAACTCATCACTATTAAAACTGGCCTTAGAAATTATGCTTGAAGTTAACATTCGTATAACTAATCACAGCTTTGATCAAAGTTAACAAAAAGATGAAACGAAGCGTGAAAATCGTTCTCTGTGGGAGTCCGACTCCTGCTGGCCAGATTTTCTCTATCTCAAGACAAACTTAGGCAATATATGAGAAATTCGTGGATTTTGAATGTTTTATTTGAAATACACAATTTATGACCACATTAAACGTTCTAAATTTTGTTTCCATTTGATAAATTTTAGCTTTTTCACTGCCGCCAAATTAACATAACCTCAAAAAGTGATATGCAAACTATTACCTACCTGTCTTTTATATTCTTAAATGCAGCATCCGTGGCTAGATACATAACATAGCTCTTTTGCCAAAAATTTATCTTTAATGATTAAACATTATTGGGTCAAATATCTTTATTTTGCTCTGTTAATTCGCTGATTACGGAATGACTAAAAATAACACAACAAAACCTGTCACGAACTCAGCACCAAAATAAAATCACTAGAAATGGTTGCTAAGCATGCTGTGACGTCATTAGTGAAATCGCCGATAAGCGTCGATATCAATCTGGTTAGCGATGGGTCATTGCTTACCATAACGGCGTAACTTCATATAGCGCGTACCCATAGCCCAGCTTTCAATTTGGAACTATGTAACAGAGATACAACTTATACCATGTGCTGACCGACAACGAAAACACTTTGAAAACGAGTTTTGGGGTTGTGGGCTGAAGGCTGTTCACACCAGCTGTAAGTGTCTTTGCTGACATTTCTTACATCCTTTGTTTACAGTTTTGCTACAAAAAGAAAAAAAATCTAAATACTTTTCTTTAATTTTATTTTCATTAACAACCTTTTTCTTTTGTTATTATTTTAATTTGGCCAGCCAATTACCAATAAAACCGAACTGGCGTATTAAAGATGGTAAAATATGACTTCCACTTCGATATATATATCTAAAAGTATGTTTATATAAATATAATCTCAATCAAAGCTCGTTTTTTAATCACCCCGTTTATACAGGCAAATATCAGATTATTAGATGTCAAATTTTTTATGCTTTTATGCCAGTTTTTCAGTGCCAGTTTAAATTTAGATTAAGTAAACCGAGTTTAAATTGAACAGCGGGCTGACATTTGATTGGCTGATCTTAGTTTAAACCAGCCAGATCGGGCGTTTAAACTTAGTTTAAACCACAGCTGTACACTGAAAAACTGGCCTTATATTCACATCTCACGGAAATGTTAAGTTCCTTCTCTGTGCCACCGTGATCAGTTTTATCTGCTATATCAAGCAATTTAAATATATTTTAATTTAATATTTGTTTTAAAATACCTTTACTAACCTCTTTTCCTTGATAGCGTCCATTTTTTTACCTTCCTTTTATTAGCTCGGGATGTAACTATGTAATATTGATGCGCCTAAAAGATGCAGCGATTTCTATTCTCAAGTCACATACCTGATGACAGTACGAATGACAATTATAATAGAGAGGTTTTAGTTTTTTAAACTATAATTTTATTACTTTTTCATTTGGCATTTCTCCTCTTCTTCGCAAAAATAATCGACAAATCTAGGTTGGACACCGAAAAGTTATCTGTTTAATCTGAGATTATTTTATAATTACAAGTTTGTATCATGAACCAAAAATACAAGATCACGCCTTCTTCTTAGTAGCCCGTTATAATCGCATTTAGGAAAAAAGTTGGGCGACTTTGACATTAGCCGTTTATTTACATTTGTACGTTGGTTACAATTTGGCGGTGGCTTTTTACTGCAGTTTTCTTAATTTTCGCTTGTGAAAACGTGTGCACACATAAGGTAAAGAATAAGTTAACAAAACGACATGATTTATAGAAGAATTTGCGTAATAAAAATGATTATTCATGCTTTTAACATTTACGCGTTTTTTTTCGTTCTCTTCGTTGTCTACTACTTACAACAAAGATGGCGTCTAAATTTCAGCAGCTAGAAAATAACTTTTTTCTTCCTTTCCTTAAGTCGTGATCTTGTGTCTTTCGTTCATGGGTTTGTATAGTAACTTCTCCAGAAAACATTGCAGCGAGAGCGTAAAAGCAAAATAGAGCGTAAAATTGAGAAGAAGAGAAAACTAGCAGAAAAAGTTATTGAACGCAAAACTAGTAAAAACTTGCAAGTGAATAGCTGTTGCCCCCATTTGATATACTGCTGTAAACATTTTACTATTTATAAATCAATTTTAAACGCTTTGCTTTTCACACAAGCACTTACACAGTCTAGTACATCACTAATATTTTGATTTACAATGGCCCGTAGTCATAGTCAAAATAAAGTCGACTTTAAAGTTAGTTGCAGGTTTTTGACATAATTTTCAATGGGATATCTGTCAAAAAAGCTGCAACTAACTTTAAAGTCGACTTTATTTTGACTATGACTACGGGCCATTCATTTTACTTTTGTTTGTGCTAAACCAATTCAACAAATGGCGGCTTTTGACATTTATTCTTCTTCTTCTTCTGCTAGCTAATTTCTGCTAGTAAAAATTTCACTTGCAAGAATTTGCAGCTCTCCCGTGTTGTTACGCTTTCGATTCAGTGCTCTCTTGCAAATTTTTTGGGCTATCATACACTTTTCCAGCAGGTTCCAGTGCAACTTAGTACTGACTATTGGTTACTATACAAGCCTTACATTAGTGGTATTCATCTGAACCGATAACTTTATCAAGCAGATATTGGCTTTGTTTCTTTTCTAACAGATAATTTTCAGGAAGAAGAAGAATGAGAAAATTTAAAGAATTACGCTCACAGAGAGCGAAATAACGAACAAGTAAAGAAACGTAAAACTAGCAAGTAATCAGCTGATCGGTGTATTTGACTATTGAAAATATTTGGCGCGTATTTTTGTTTATCAATTTTGACAGCTGATAGTTTCAGCTAGTAAAAATTTTACTAGCAGAAAGTAGCAGGAGAGCCAAACAAAGAGCGTAAGAACGAGAGAGAGCTGCTAGTTTCTGCTAGTTTTTTGGGTTAAGAAACGTTTTTCAGTAGAAATTAGTGATAATTATCTGTTAAAGCTATTCTTATAAGCACTCTGTTACATGAACGCCCCATACTCTCCTTCCGTTTACACTTGCGACAATAGTCGTGTTTTCTTTGATTATCGAGCTCAGTATCAGTAATTTTATATTACTAGCATGAGGATTAAGAAATTTTAGAAATTACCAATAAACCTGTGGCACGAGAACGAATCCTCTCTGTAGTTTAAATTTGGCCACCCCAGGGAGTTGGATAGAGTTAGGCCAATAACTTCCTGTCTTCTAGAAGTAAGAAATAAAAGGTTTGGAGCACTTAAATCCTGATAGCACAAGTTTGGTAGCTATAAATTAGGAAGGCACTGTAAGACAAGCTCTTGGTCTTCATCTAAAATGATAAAGGGATAAATTGCTTAAATTTATCAGTTTATCCGCATTCTTTCATGAACGCACCTTGGTAAATAATTGCATAAATTATTTAACTTATATGGCTGGTTACGTTTTTATTCTTACCTCGTCTTACCTGATGGAAAGCTCTCGACAGAAGACCCCACCACCGTTTCCCCTCTCTAGAAGTTCCGCCCGGCCTAATCCTCCCTTGAGGGAAAGTGGGCAGAGGAAAAGCTCCTTGGAGCCATTTCGGTGGTGCAGTAATCTGTGCGATCAGGGATGAAATCAAAGCCCCCTAGAACTCCAGAGTGTCCAGTCCTTAAGTCGGTCAACCAATCGGTTTCCCTGAGTCTAATCGCCGAGTCAATAGGCACTACATTCAGCAATACGTCCAGTGTTAATGTGGGGGTTGTCCACAGTGCTCCACTAATACCATTTAAAGCAGTCCGTTGTACTCGCTCCAGCTGCTTAGCTAGTGGTAGTGGGTTCCCTGAGCCTAGGGCGCCATAAGACTTATTTTGCTTGACTACGGTCTCGTAGAGCCAATAGACAACTTTGGGAAAAATACCCCATATCTTACCAATAGCTCCCTACAGCAATATAAAACCACTGATACCTTCTTTGCCCTTTCCTCGATATTTGGTCTCCACGACAACTTCCTGTCAAAGATCAAGCTTAAGTACTTGATCCTGTCAGACAGCTCTAAGCGCTGACCTCCAACTGTGGGAGGAACAGCGTCGGGGATTTTATATTTTCCAGTGAATAAGACCAGTTGTCTCTTACTGCGGTTGAGGGTGAGGCCACCTTTGGTCGCCCAGTTAGTAACTATGTTAAGATACCGTTGAGTCAGTTCATAGAGCGGGTTCAGGTACTTACCTTTAACGATAACTGCAACATCGTCTGCGTAGGCCATTACCCGACAGCCGTGTTTCTCCATCTCCTCTAGTATATCGTTTACCATGACGACCCAGCAAGGGTGAGAGGACGATGGCACGAAACGTTCGAGCCCTCCTGCTTCTGAGAAAGCCGGGTAAAATACCGTATAAAGCTTGACAGAAACGGCCCTACCCTCACTTACACTCGCTCCGCCTGAGATCCCGATCGAAACCAGAGTAGCCGTGGAGCAAGAAGCCAGTTTTGAAAAGGCCATCTTATTCCTAACCTGCCACCTTTTCATGGGCGCAAAAGTGAAATCGGCCTTCTCCGGACAAACTCCCGCTAAGCCCGCATTCCCGGCAGCGGCGGTAACACCCGCTCGCGCGTCATCAATACGTTTTGAGAGAGCATCGGGATAGGTAGTAAAGGGCAAAGCCACTAGACTCCTACTTGTGCATCTCCCACCAGCAGATTTTGGTACTCCTGCATCTCACAAGAGGCTACTGATTTCCGTAGAAGAAATAACTGTGGACAGTGTTCCTTTTGGGAGAAGCAGTAGCAGGAGGATTGACGGCAGCCACCAACTCCTCTGCTTTCTCCTCTGCCAAACTTAAGCCAAACTTACCCCACTTTCCTTTCCACCAAGAAGCGCTCTCGCGTGTAGGCACTAGAGACTTGTGTACAATTTTGGTATATTACAATGGGCAAAAATCTCAACCCAATCGCTTTAAAAACTAAAGAGTTGAGAGCATTTATAGGTGCCAAGGTACACTCAAAGGACAGTTTAAGAAATTATAGGATCAAAGTAAAAGTAACAAAGGCGGGAATGTAAAATGATTTGCAAACTTTACTTTAAACTAGAGAATGGATGGTCATCGTATATGACTCATATACCCAATTTTTATTCGCAGTATAAATATGAATACTTTTTATCATTATGGTACAAGTTTATCACCTGGTATACAAACAAACACCTGCATGCAGGTATATGTATACGAGTGATCCAAGTAAACTAACCTAACGAATTTATTGCCTTAAAAGGACCTATTTACTGAGAAGAAAATTCCCCAATTTGGAAAAATTTGTATTCCAATTTTCAAAGGTATCAAAGGTATAAAGACCATGTAAAAAAATTGTTTTCATTAAAAATGTTATAACTATTTAGCCCGTAAGTATATACATTTTTGACTCTATCAACTAATCCACTAGAGGGTAATTTTTTTGAGAATTTAATGCCTTACAAGAATATACCAAGAAAAAATTTTTATCTTAAACGATTCAATAGTTATAACTAGGGTTCGGAATCTCATGCAAATGCATGTTTTTATTGGGCATCTTCAAATGGAAATGGTTAAGTTATCTTTACGAATCATGAAATTTCCTTTAAAATGGCATTCAATCGTTAGTGCATATTTTGCAGTAAATGCATGATTTTGCATATTTTGCAAAAAATATCTAATTTTGCACATTTTGCGACTGTCCAGACCTCGCAAGGATGAGGCTAAAGACACTCTGCAAGCCATTCCTGCAGAATGTTTTACAGTGAAGCTGCCTCGCTGTAGCTTGCACGAGTTGTGGAATCCAAATGGCAAACTTCTCAAACTATTAAACCAAGGCGAATTTATACAAGGTGGTGTTGGCAGAACAAAAACAAAAATTACAATAACAAATTATACGCACATTGACAATCAGTACAAAATGAAATTACAACAAACACATCATTTTGACAAAAGGCACAAATTCGTCGTGAAATCAGCGGCTCCATTAACACCACCTTGTATAGATCTTGTATTAAACTGTCAGTGTTTCTATTTACACAAGATTGTAACTGACTGCTTGATTATAAACAAATTTTCTACATAAATATGTATGGTATTTTGAAGTCAATTGATTTCGTTATTTTCTTGTTAAAATGGATGTGTTAGTTATTTTTGTACCGACAATAAAATATTAGGAAAATCTTTTTTTTTTTATTGCATATTTTACTTCTCTAAAGCGCATATTTTCGATTTTTTAGTGCATGAGATTCCGAGCCCTAATTATAACATTTTTAATAAAAACACATTTTTTACATATTATTTACAAGACAATTTTCAAATGCCCACCGACACCTTTCAAATTTGAATAAAAATTTTTCCTAATAGGACAATTTTCTTCTCAGTAAATAGCTCCTTTTAAGGCCATAAATTCGTTAGGTTAGTTATTTTCGATCACCCTAATGTATGTACATATATTCGGGTTAAAAAGATTGAAAGTAAATTTAGCAGATACTCGTATACTATTTATAGTGAATTTATTTCTAACTAACTGTTCCGCGTAAATTCACCTGATCCGTATGTCTCTGTAGATATTCGTAAACAAAAGCACGGAAAACCTTATTAAAATTACGAATTGATGGCCAATGCAAATTTGCGGCATTATCGTTCGGAGTATGCCACTGTGGCGGGAACGGTGTGGTTATCAGATGCAAAATCGGCACATCTGAATTAAAATAATCAAATAAAGCAAGCAAAAGTAAGTACAATATAAAAAATAAAAATAAATAAAAGAATATGACGCACTTTGTTGGAGAAAAGGTCGGTGATCGTCATCGACAAATCCAGATGATGATCGTTTCATGAACATTAAATTGTGACCCTCGAGCTGATGAGCAGCTGACAAAGACAATTCGATTTCAGACAAACTGTGATGCAACCCATCAGTGTTCGGATAAAAACTATAAAATTTGGGATTAGCTGCACCAATTAAATCGAGCAACACTAAAACTTCCTAAAATAAAAAAAAACGATTAAAAGAATTAGGAGAAAAAGAAATTTTTTAGTTCGTGACTTACAATTCTATCAATACTTCGCCCCGAACCAGTTGACGAACGAGTATTGGACAATTTGGCTGCTAAGTGACGTGCGCCATAGATTGAATCGTTATCTGACCAATCCTTGATAGCCTCTTCGCCATCGAAAAATATCATCTACATACATACATAAATGTTTATTATTATACTGCGGAAGTTTATGCAGAAAACGAAGAGTAAATGTACGTAACTATTAGCAAAATAAATACATTTTTATACACTTTGTTTATAGTTATGGTTTTAGGCTTCGTTTTCTGCGTAAAAATTCGCGATGCTTTCATAATTTAACACTTTGATCGTTTTCTGGAAAAACAATTTGTATCATAAGCAGGAAATCTGTATTCCTGGTAATTGTACTCATTTCAACTTTGTTTGGCAATTATAACAAGAAAAAATTCACTATGTGACTAATTAATGAACCAAGGATTTTTTTTCAGTTTTAACATTCTTCCAGCAAACGATGCTTATGTACATTAGGGTGGTAAAAAAAAAAATAATGCTCTCACCCCCTAGAATTGTCCTTTACCTGACTTCAAAAAGTATTTAGAGGTCGTTCAAAGTTTTCCATGTATTTTATATGGGGGAAAAATCGTAGAAATTGTATAGAATTCTTGAAAATCAAAATTTTTTAACCGGAAAACTCTGTTTCTCTTCAGGAGACTTTCAATAATAATAATAACCAATTGCTTATTTAACAATTTTTTTAAGTTACCTCTTTTTATAGATCGCCCCAAAAAAATGCAATGGGGGGACCAATAAAAAATCGCTAGTATTAAAAAAATGGTAAACTTAACAATTGGGAGAAACAGAGTTTGTCGATCGAAAACATTAGGGCTGTTCAGGATCTTGTGCATATGTTCTTGAATTTTGCATACTCGTTTCATTTGTAAATTCCCAACAATAAAATGTACACTGCTGCCATGGCAGAAAGCAAAAAATTTGCAATTACAATTCCAAATGCAAATCCACGACCAGACCATTTCAACAACATCCTGATTTCCACGAAAAATTGTTTTTCCCATATCAAACACATGAAAACTTTGAGCGCTCTGAGCGACATCTAAATATTGCTTGATTTCGAAATAAAAAAGGGTGTTCGATAAAGAACAACCCTAGGGGGAGGGGCGGCGTGAGAGCATTCAAATTAGACTTTACGTTTATGAACATGCATTTTTGGACCACCCTAATGTACATACATATGTCCGTATGTATGTATACATATGTATGAATGTATTTATGTAAATATTACCATCAATCCGATGTCTTTGCGATTTTTAAACCTTTGTTGAAGATACTTTGATAGAGTCTTGGCGGTATTTAACATGATAGCACAAGGTACCGCTGAATCTGTAGCGGCCACAAAACCAGGATCATTTTTGAAGTACTTGCTGTCATAATGACAAGCTAGCGCCAAGAAATCGGTTGCACTGGGGTTTAAAACGCCAATAATATTAGTAAAGGTAACGTTGCCAAATATGGGTATCTTCTGTGCAAATTGATCAAGTTCCGTGGTAAAGCCGAGTGTTTTGAGTTCCCTTTCGAAGAAAGATTTAAATAAATAACACACATACACATACATAGATATTTAATAGGTTAGTAGATTGATAAAACAAAACAGGAGGAAACCTTATTTCCTGTACAAACTTAAAATTTAGCGTACTAAAAGTTCATTCAAAACTAAATATGTATGTAAATACGATAGTCACCTTTTTATAAAATTTTCTACTTCAGTATGGCCAGGTGTACCCACCACACGCGGACGCATAATACCGGCCAACACACGTTTAAAGTGTTGATTGTCATCTGGAAACTGCACAAAAACACTAATGCCATTAAAAGCTATATACAATATAACACACAATCAAGTTTTTTGTATTCAACCAACTTGTGTGACGTTCCATGCATAAACAGTCCAGATCAGCAATTGAATGAATAGACCAGAAATCCACATAACATTGAGCATTGTATTTATTTTCAATGCTTAACACCAAAGTACATAAAATAAAAACAAGTTGCTTTTCACCGTTAAATTGACTAACGCTCACGAAAATATCCGCCCCACTTTTAAGTGATCACCAACTTGTAAATGCCAGCGGCAACTAAAAAAAGCGTACCAAACAAACTTTAATCCAAGCGCACTGCGAAAAAAGCTTTTCGATGACAACAAAACAAAAACATATTTGCTAAATGGTAAACTAAAATTAACTAGCTTTTAGAGTTACTCTGACTTCGTAAGCAAATTGAGACTCACATTTTTCAAAGCGGTTGTTATGTATATACTTATATGTATGTATGTATAATATGTGCATTAGGGTAGGTGCGGCGATAATCACTGCTAGAATAAATAGCGTAGTAATTTCAACAAACCTTGATATAATTACCATTTTTTATAAGACATTAGGGCTGTTCAGGATATTGTGAAAATGGTCGTGGATTTGTATTTGTATTTGCATTTACAAATTTTATGCTTGCCACTATGGCAACCTTTGCATTTATGTCATGAAAAGCTCAACAAATTTTCTGAAAAAATTATTCGTTTTTATGGTCAATTCAAATATCTGAAATTGCAAATTTTAACAGTTTGTAAAGTACTTATAGCTCATTGTCTAGTTTATATAAGTATGTGCATGCATATAAGAATTCGAAATATATGCACCTTATTTTGGTTTTACAAGTTTTTTTTTTCAGCACTTAAACTTATAAAATTCGTTGTTTTTATTAAAATTGCGGTAAATTTATAACAATAAATTTTCTACTTAAAAAAAAAAATCTAGCTCTTCATTTTAGCTACTATTAGTATTATTTAGCTCTTTTTTCGGCCGTTTTAGCTCTAAACGAAAATTTTCTCTGCCAATACTGGTATTGTGTGAAAGACTGAAGCACACCGTTAATGAACTGATTGGGCCTTATCAGTGTGGCTTTAGACCTGGTAAATCCACCATAGACCAGTTATTCACAATACGCCAAATCTTGGAAAAGACCCGCGAGAAAAGGATCGACACTCACCACTTATTTGTCGACTTTAAAGCCGCTTTCGACAGCAACAAAAGGAGTAGCCTATACACCGCTATGTCTGAATTTGGCACCCCCTCACAACTCATACGGCTGTGTAAAATGACGTTGAGCAATACCGCCAGCTCCGTCAGAATTGGGAAAGAACTCCCCGAGCCGTTCGCCAGCAAACGGGGTTTCAGACAGGGCGACTCCCTTTCATGTGATTGCTTTAATCTGTTGTTGGAGAAGATAATAAGAGCTGCAGAACTGAACAGCTCAGGAACAATTTACTACAAGAGCGTGCAATTGCTGGCTTATGCCGATGACATCGACATCATCGGTAACAAAAACCGCCTGTTCTGTACAAAAAAAGTCTGTTCTGTTCTGTAACAAAGTTCTATGGGGAAAGCTGTTGAATAATATTTTTACTATGGTGAGAGAGTTTTGCCAATTTGCTGTGTGAAATGAAATCTTTTTTGACAGCATTAAATTCTTGATAACTGCAGATTTATGCGGCATAAAATATTACAAATCGAAGTGAAATTAGTATTTAAGGAAAACATCTACCATCGCTGAGCGCAATTCATCAATTTAAGCTTTTATTTAACGACAAATTTCACACATCAACAATCTTTCCGATTGTCAAAATTTTTTTATTCATTTGTCAAAAATTTCACTAGCCTCATAAGCTACTGAAATTTTATTCACCTCCTGGTTGTCAAAAATTTACTCGCCGCGAACTTTGTTACCGATTCACACACGCTCTAAGTATGTATTGTATTCTACAAAGAATTACAAATAATTTGATACCTTAGCAAGAATTAGCCAACTTTTAAAGATAAAATATTCTGCGACCTTGAGCGTCATTTTTATTTCGAAAACATCTTAATTAAGGGCACATTTGGAAAATACGTCGTAACGATCTAAATATTTTTGTAACTACTAGTCCTTATAACGTTACATATACTTAAGAAATGCTTCAAAAAAATGTACTCTAGAAATGTGTAAAAACCATGATCTACTTTCTTTAATGGTGCTCCTTCTTGTAGTCAGACTATTTCGAGCGAGGTATCAAAAAAACTTTTCGAAAAAGGTTCTGATAGTTGCTACAACTTAATTGGAGCCTTCTAAATTCAATGGTGTCCCCAGAATTGCCCGATTGCCTCCACTTTTCTAGATAGCGGTACTTGAAACTTTGCTTAGATTTTAACTATTTTATAAAAAAAAACTACCTCTGTTTTGAGGAGTTTTTACTCAAGCTTTGCACACGATTGTCTAACATTTGAAGCACTTGATGAAAATGCATTAGCCTTATGTTTATCGATTTATTAAGAGATTACGAATAGAATCATTTATAAAACATAGGTGTGTCCACAAATTAAAAAATTAAACTTTTTGTTTTGAAAGTGTACCTTTTTTTTTAGATTTGTCCATATACATGAATTGTTATGTGAATATTTTATGGTTTTTACGCGTTCTGCATACAAAGTTTCTTTGTTCTTAAATCACTTAGTACTTGATCATGCTTCTTGGTTCGATCAAAACAGTGTTAACTACTACATACATATGTACATATGAATATACTTATATATGCACGTACATATATGAGACTTTTAGAATGGCTGTAAATATTTACATACTCATATATACATATGTGTATGTACATACAAATCGTCAATTGGCGCTTAATGCCTCGTATCTGTCGAATGCAAAGCAGTTGCCTCTTAAAAGTTATTGGATAAGCAATTTTTTATGCCGCTTATAAGAGTTTTGTCCCAACTTTTATTTTTCGCAAAAATAATTACCTGTCTCCTTTCTTTATATTGCCTGATAACTTTTGTAAGGCCGTTCTCACAGTGGAGAGTTAACTCACATTCGGCAGTTAGCTAGCAAATTTTTGTACTGAATATCTATAAACTGTGAAATTGGCACTCAATGAGAAATATGTTTTTTTGCTCGTCATCCTTTTTAACGAGAGTATACGTCATCAAAAATGTCCTTATGCAAATAGTTTTTTTTACTCATATTTGGCAGTTAACTTACAATTTTTGTTCTGAAAATCTGTACTTAACTTCCGAATGTGAGTCAACTCTCCACTGCGAAAACAGCAAGAGGACGGCATTTCATTTTAAAGCTTAATATCCGGCTCTCAAGAGAACGGTCAAGAAAAAAATTGCTATTATGTGTTATAGCACCTGTAATATAAAATTGCACAAAAAAGTTATATATCATTTAAATAAGAGCAAGAGGAGGACTACGTCTATATTTTTAGGTTTTTAGTTATTAATATGAAATAATTAAATATAATTTTTCACCAAAGGACGTATTTCGAACTTCGAAGGCCCATATCTCGATTTCGTAGGCTAACTTCGAAAAAAGGAGCAATTACTTTTTTACCTATGACTCAAAAAAAATTGGTTTAGTCCAATACCCATAAAAAAGTTGATTTTGCCGTACAGTGTATACAGTGTATTTGATCAAAGAGCTGGAAAAACGCAAAACTTGTAATGTCGAGCATCTAAAAATGAATTGAGTTAGTTCAAGTCTTAATAAATATATGTAAGTCAAGATGTGCAAAAGCTAGTAGAATTGAAAAAAAAAAACGGAATAAATAGCGTCTTGCGACATGCAAACGTCTTATGTCAAAAATTAAACGCGGCCGACCGGTTACTTCTTTTAAAACTTTCTCGGAAAATACCGAAAATCCACTTCAGTTTCAGAATAAGTTTGCCCCATACACCAGAAATAATATCCCTTGCAGAAATAATATCCCTTGTCAAAATTGTTTTTCTTTTCCAATAGTAGAGATTTCTAGAAGGTCTAATAGCTTAAGGCAGTTATGAGGGTCCCCTGCCCCAGTGTGCGTCGACTGAAATACCGAAAATAAAACCACGCCGATATATGTATGTACATATGTATATTTTGTATTTATTTACTTGACAACAAGTGTCATATATTAATGTATTGTTCTTTAGTAGTGTTACAAATGGGATTTAAAAGTTATAATCAGGTACTTTAAGATTAAAGTAGCTGACCAATTAAAAATGTTTTAAATGTACGTAGTAGCAGAATAGGTTCAATATGATTTTCCACTTTGACAGTTTGTTGTTTTTAATTACCCCAAATGTTGTGCACGATTAAATCGTATTGTTTTCTAATTCTATGAAAACAAAACCTCAACAAAGACTAAAGACAGTGGTGCCGTTATTGTTATTTTTGGTGTTGTTCGTTTTGTGAATTTAACTAGCATTAACATATAAATATATTTATAAAGTTATATGTAGTGGAAAACTATGTTGAACCTATTCTGCTGAAGTATGTGCTGTATATGTAAGTATGTGTAGTTACAATTTGCACTCTCCCCTAAATGACGTACATGCATATATGCATTTACTTAAACAAGTGTGTACACATTTGCGAACAATTACTTCAAAATCAACATATGTATTTAATTTTAAGTTTGTTTAGTTATGTAACTACACATAAAATTTAACTTAACTTTAAAAATTCCGACTGCATCTTTTTATATTTAACATAACTATGGGCGAATCCGAGAAATAGTCAATCAAAATCTGAAAAATACATGCAATTCAAATTCTAGTGTTTTTTTGTGTCGAAAATGGCATAGTACAACATATTGTTATTTCATAATTTCTTTTCACACTTATTTGAGAAATCTGATTTGCGACTCTTACTTCTTGAAACAAAGCTCCAAATAGCCTTGGTTTTAAGCACTGTATCTTTTAATAAAATACAACAATATCGCTTTAAACAAATCAATTTTTTCAACGGACGTAACGTAACGTCCCGAACGCACATATACAATTGTTTTGAAGTTAATCCAACATTTAGTTTGGTTTTATAATACATATTGTTAACTTCATTATTTTTTCTTCAAATTATTATTTTAGATTTTGTTCTTCATTCATTACAATTTGCGCAAATCGGTTGACTTTGATGGTCATATTAAAATCGCTTCCTTTTTCAGTAACGTCCGAACACAAACTTCGAAGGAAAATACACAGACATTGATTCAAATTCAAATTTCCATTTTTTTTTCTAATAAGTACTGCTGTAAACCTTCCCTTATACCACACAAACATTTTAAGTTATAATTTTTATTTTCGGAAAAAAAGTTAAAAGAAGCGTCCGAACGTAACGTCCGCAACGTTAGGATTTGCCCATATATGTAACTTATACTTTTTTTGTTAAAAATCTATTGTATATGACTGTCTCAAAAACTGTAAAAATTTGGTTTATGTTTCTCAGTTTTCAATGAACACTCACAGAACTTGATTAGTGGAAATTAAATTTTTCGTACATAAGTACGTATGTATTTGTATGTATGTACTTATGTAACTATATCTCCTGTGATAGCACAGAAACCAGTAACTTGTTTTTTTTGTAAACTGGAGTTTTCTTTCCATTAATATTTGTTGCCTTGTTGTATTTCAATTTTACTTTATGGCACCTAGAAACAAGAAAACGGATAGCAGTGCGTAAAAGGATTTTTTTTCAAGAGTTCGAAAATAGAAAGTCCAACCAAACCAAGTACTACTAGTTAAATTCTGTGTGAATCGTATCATAGCAAAACAATAGGACTGCTCAATGAATACACCAGAGTACTCTAGTCCAGCAAATAGTGTTCGATGAAACTTTTTTCCACTAGGCTATTCTGAACTGTATTTATACCCGAGCGCACTTGTGCACAAGGGTATATTAATTTTGTTCACATAACGGTTGTTTGCAACAGCCAAAACGAATCGAGCTAGATGTAGAAAAATGTATACATAAATGATCAGTATGAAAAGAGAAATCGATTAAGCGGTGACTGTCTGTCCGTACGTCCGTGTACACGATAACTCGAGCAAAAATTGAGATATCTCAACGAAATTTGGTATGTAGGTTTCCATTAATCCAAGGTAGGTTGGTATTGAAAATGGGCGAAATCGGATTGTAACCACGCCCATTTCCCATGTAACGGTAATTTCCAGAAATACGAAAACTGCGATATTTTAGTAACTACTGAAGATAATTCACTCAAAATTGATATTTACAATAATTTTCAGACGAAAAATAGGAATATTATAAATTTTTAGAAAATGGGCGTAGCCACGCCCACTTATGTTTACATGTGTATATCTTGGTAACCGCTGCACCAATTTCTTCCAAAACTTGGCACAGTTGTTGGCTTGGTACAGTATACTAAATGGCCGAAAATTTAAAAAATCGGACAATAACCACGCCCACATCCCATATAACGGTAATTTAGAGAAATACAAAATCTTGGATAAATCAGTAAATATTAAAGCAAATTTATTCAAAATTGATGCTTGCAACAACTATTTACCAAGAAATACGTTTATGATAAAATTTTGGAAAATGGGCGTGGCTACGCCCACTTATGATCACATATATGTATATCGGTAACCGTTCTACCAATTTCTACCAAACTCGGTATTTTTATTGTGCTTAGCACATAAAAGAAAAACGTTGAAAATTATTGAAACCGGACTAAAATTACGGCTTTTCATATAACGGTAAATTTCAGAAATGCTTGAAACTGCAATATTTCGAAATTTAAGGACGCTAATTTACTCAAAATTGATACACCCCGGCTTACCATCTAGCGGTAGCTTTCGGAAAGGTGAAAAAAAATATATTTAATACTTGCGCCGGGTATTTAATGTTCGGCTCCACCCGAACTTAGACTTTTTTACTTTTTTTATTTCAAAATAAAAAAAATAAGGATATATTTTTTTCGTTATAGAACAATCCCTGGGGGTGAGAGCATAAAAATAATAATATAATAGGGGTATTCTCGAAGTCTTGCACGATGCACGGATTGCACGAAATGCAAAAATACTATTCCTAATTTCGAACAGTACGAGAGCACCCCATTGCAAAGTGGTAGAATGCATGGGTAGCAAGCAGCGAAATTATGTATCAAATACAATAACAAGAGACAGCAGAAAAAAATGAAGTGAGCAAGATGAGAGGAATGAGAGAAATATGTAGCAATTCCAACAACAAAACA